GCCTCACTGGAGAGTCCTGGGCAGAGGGCAGCTGGTGGGACCTGTCACTCACCCTGCCGCCTCTCTCTACAGTTCCGGGAGAATGTCCAGGATGTGCTGCCCACCCTGCCGAACCCAGACGACCATTTCCTGCTGTGCTGGCTCCGAGGTGAGGGGAGAGGGCCTGCGGGAGGCTGGGGCAGGGCAGGGCTCCTTCTGGGTCACAGAACAGCACCCTCTGGAAACCCTGGGCCTGGCCATCTGAGAACCTGGAGTAGTCAACCCCGAGGGGCAAAAGGGCCCCTGGCGATTACATAACCTCACCTTCTACTGCAGAGATAACACCGAGGCTGAGAGGTGAAGTAATTCGCCCCAAGCCACACCGTGCTTGAGCTGCAGGCAAAGAGTGGGGACAAGAGCCTGGTTGGCTGAGTCCCAGCCCAGTGCACTCCCCATCCACTCTGCTGATGGGCTTGGGGAAACAGGCAGAGGAAAACGCCGAGAAAGGCCCCAGGCATGTGGGACCACGGAAGCAGAGGCAGGTTTAGAACCAGGGTCCCGGCTTCTGGGAGAGGCTGGGCCCCTCTGTGGCCTCCTGCAGTGCAGGCAGCTTGAAGGTGGGGAACATGGGGGGCTCGGCCGGAACTAGGTGGACAAGACCCTCCTCAAGCCGCCACCAGGCTCCAGAGTCCTGAGTTCCAATTCTACTCCTGCTCCGGCCTGGCTGTGGCACCTGGGCCAGGGGTGTGCATCTGCCCTCGCCCCCTCTCTGGGACAGCAGGACGAGATGGGGCTACCTGCCTGTTGTAAGATGTCACGTGGCAGAGCTCTGAGCATGGGATCCACGTTCTATTCGCATCGGGGGTCAAGCTCAACCCCTACCCTAACGCCTGGGATCCTTCTGTCCTTGACCCTCTCTCTCCTCCTCTGTGATTCCAGTCACGTGGCTCCCTCTCTGGTTCTTGTAACACATTTTCCCCCCCTTTTTAAAAAATAATTTTTTATTGATTTCAGAGAGGAAAGGAAAGGGAGAGAGAGATAGAAACATCACAGATGAGAGAGAATCTTGGATTGGCTGCCTCCTGTTCGCCCGAAACCTGGGCATGTGCCCTGACCAGGAATCGAACCGGGACCTCCTGGTTCATAGGTCAATGCTCAATCACTGAGCCACACCGGCTTGGCACGCTTTTTTTCCCCCCTTCTTTATAGAAACTTTATTACTAGACATAAAAATAATAGAGAATAAATTCCACTTTCTTAGATTAGCAGAGATTAAGTTGTGATGTGGAACCATAGTTCAAAAATTAAAGTACAAATCATCCCTGATTGTTTATCTATAGATACATGACAATCAGAGTGCCCCACGCACCCCGAATGCTCAACCAGTGTCTGCAGAGTTCGCACACGCACACACACACATGCACACACACACACTCACACACATGCACAGAGTCTTGGGGCAGATGAAGAGCTGGGTTCCCCTTTTTCTGTGCAGACATGGAACAGACTGGCATATGCTCAGAGAAACAGCTCGCAGGCGCCCCAGAGCAGGTGCAGCCAGGAGAGCCACACGGGGCTCTGCACCTCTGAAAGTGCCACTTGCCCTTTCCCCCCAAAAAATCTACAAACCCACAACCCCACAACCCCGGCCGGCCCAGCCAGAGGGCTGGAGGGGATTTTGGCCCCGCAGTTTACCGAAGGGCTGTAGCTGCAAGTGGGTGGGTGGAGAGAGTGAGAAGCCAGCAGGGCCTTAAAGGGCCAGCTGTCAGATCATCAAACCCACTACCCAACTACTGTTAGGTGGAGAAGTGTGGTTTCAGAGAGCTGTGAACAGCAAGGCAGCGCGCGCTCTCCCTTTCTCTCTCTCTCTCCCTCTCTCTCTCTCTCTCTCTTTCTCTCTAAAATATATTTTTATTGATTTCAGAGAGAGGAAGGGAGAGAGAGATAGAAACATCAATGATAAGAGAGAATCATTGATTGGCTGCCTCCTGTTCGCCCGAAACCTGGGCATGTGCCCTGACC